AATTTAATTTAATTTAACTTAAAAAAATAAAAAATAAATTATTAATTAAAAATTTTTCTCAAGGATTATTAATCTTAATGTTAATTATTTAATAAAAGTTGATAATTATGTGATTTATACGTAGAATTATCGACATAAAGTTATTGAAACGTCAGTAGTATTTGACAAAACAAACAATTTCTTCCAAACATAACACAGTAATTCGTTTGATTGGTCCAACATATATATATATATATAATAAATATATTACATGTATAATCATAGTAACTACAGTTATTATTTAATTAACTTTATTCTGTAAAGATGATATGATGAGTTTGGTGGGACAAGCACCGTTCACGTTGCCGAAAGGCCCTGACCTTTACGGAAGTGAGTTCGTTGAACCGTTGAATCTTGAGATGTCAATTGATTGGACTTTATAAAGCATAGTCGGCTCTTAACAACGAGTCAACTTTCTTATCTCGTATCTCTTTATCAGCTCAGGAACGAGGCGATGGATCCAACAAAAAATAGAACAAAGCCAACAATATTCTATTGACTCTAATACACATATATTATATATATGAATAAATATTACGTCATTAATATAAATATAATTTTCTGTTACAGCCAACACAAATAATGTCACATTTAAGCTAAGTAATATTCAACGTAAAGAAGAAGAGATAGATGAGAGAAAAATGGCGTCCACCAGCGGGCATAAGAGAAACGGCTCCAGCTCGAGCATGTTTGCGCACAAACGCACCGAATCAGGGGGTGGTTTCGTCGGTTACAAGCGAACCGAGGGTGGTCACAAACGTGCCGAGAGTATATCCAGTGCCTTTGGCCACAAACGATCCGAGAGCGGCCATAAGAGGAACGAGAGCAGTAGCGGTGTTTTCGGTCACAGGAGATCCGAATCTGGCAGCAACTATCATGCCGGTCATCGACGTAACGAAAGCATGTACGCGATGACGGGACTGTATGCGGAAACCGCCGGGACTGGTACCGACGATAATGCGGATCCGCTGCAGGCGACCAACGGCAGATTAACTCACGACACCGTCATAAGGTGTCACAGTAGAAACCCAAGTTCCGGCCTTGTGGATCATAGGTGAGTGGGAAACGGCATTGCCCAAATTCTTTAAAGCGATGATTACCGAATCAGGTGGCTGCTACCAACGCATAATTCTCAATGACATTACCTTTTAGGCTTCTCCTCTTTTCGTACCTTTTGACTCTTAATCAATAATTCGTTGAAAAAGAAAATATTATTAGTGTCCCTCTGATTTTATTTTTACTCTTGATTAATTAAAGTAACGTACGACACCCATAAATGATATATTTCTTCACATTTGTTAAGAGTTTTAAAGTATCATTCAATATCTTACGAAGCTGAATCTATATGTACTATTTTGCACCATTGTGCTTTCAACTCGCTGAGGCTTTGATGAGGCTTTAGGAAATGATAGCAATGCACACACGGCCGCAAACGCGATAAAATTGCAATTGTGTGATCGCGAGAAACGGCTCAAATGGAAAGTGAAAGCACGTGGTGACCATGACATATTTTACCATGCGTCAAGTAGATTTAGCCGGATCACTTTTTTCCTTTTTTTTTTTGCGATTATCATAACACATACTCTCGTTGCTCTACCGTTTATTTTATGCAGTGGGTTTCATCGGAGAAAGCCTCTAAGAATTTGTTAAACAAGTATGACGAAAATCTCTTCGTCGCGCGCCAATATAGCCAATGAACGGCATAACGTCGGGGTACTTTATACTTTCACCGCCGAAAAAGGTTGCAAGTCCATTCCATCGCTTTGTGTAATTTAGATGAAGATGTAGCGCGCTTTATATTATACTTGTCGCACAGACGACTTAACTCTATCTATGCTATCACAGTTAGTGTCTCAACTGATATTCCTACACGCCGCTCCATTACATCGCAATGTATTCATGCTTTTTCTCCTGTTCCTATTATTTTTCAGAGATTTTATCATCAAATGTCACAGCAGGACCATTCCATCGCTTTGTGTAATTTAGATGAAGATGTAGCGCGCTTTATATTATACTTGTCGCACAGACGACTTAACTCTATCTATGCTATCACAGTTAGTGTCTCAACTGATATTCCTACACGCCGCTCCATTACATCGCAATGTATTCATGCTTTTTCTCCTGTTCCTATTATTTTTCAGAGATTTTATCATCAAATGTCACAGCAGGAATCCAAGTGCTTCTATGGTGGACAGGTAAAGTTAATATCATTATTCGCTGTTTCGCATCCAATACAATACATATTGTGTTTTGTATAATTATTGTTATCTATTCTTAGCACGCGACAACGCTTGTTTAAAAAAAAAAATTGTAATTGTGCATATTAAGTAAAAAAAAAAATAACTATTTTTGTTTCGCAACGTATCATTATTTGCATAGAATGGAATGCATTTGCATTATAATTTTCTTCTATTTTGTTCACGTCACGTGTGACTTGATCATAATTTCTCTTCTAAACTTAGCGTCTTTTTTTATCGCTCGTAATTACCGATTCTGCCCTATTTTTAAGACGTTTACTTGTTCATTGTTTGATCCTTTTGAATGAATTCAGGACGGAAAAGGAGAGGGCTCAAACCCCGCCGTTCAATCCGGACTCCAAGGACTGTGGGATTCTAAATTGTAGGCCGGCCTTCATTCAGAGATTTGCCGGAATAAAGGTACGCCACGCAAATATCTTTTACAGTTATTCGGAAGAAAAAAAGTGTACGGAAATGTGACAAAACGTTCGCGAAACAATATACCATTGCTTAGAAATAATATATTATTTTATAAGCTATATTTTTCTCTCTCTTGATATGAGATCATGTCAGGAACATTGTCACACTTAAACGGTGAGTGCCGTTTCAGTTTATGCGGTATCTACACGCGGATGTACAAAGCAGGCCTTGTGACTCATACGCTCGAGCTCGAAAGTATACATAAGATTGTTAAGTGTACACAAGAGACATGATTGTAACATATTTTTGATACGTTAGCAATTTGCGTAAATAAATTGCGCACGCGGCACTTGATTTGAAATATGAAGATGCTTACAGTTGTCGCAACAATATCGAAATCGCATATCTATGATATTGTGACCAAAACATACACGATAAGAATGGACAGACTTCTCTCATAAAGATTACGTCGTCATCTTAAAATATAATACGTCTATTTATTGCGCGAATGTGTATTTTTCCACGTGTAATTTCCAAGTATTATATGACGCATGCTTGAAAATTATATTGTCTTATCTGCTTTATCTACCATGATGATTTCAGGTGTTCGTATTTCTCCTGTCGTTCCTTGTTACGTTGCAACAGGCACTTAGCTCAGGTTACATCAATTCTGTGATAACAACCATAGAGAAGAGATTTGAGATCCCGTCCAGCCTTTCGGGCCTCATTGCGAGCTCTTATGAAATCGGCAATGTTATCACTGTCATCTTTGTCAGTTATCTCGGCAGTCGCAGACACATACCTGTATGGATAGCGATCGGTATAATCTTGATTTTATTTAAAAAAAGACCGACTATTTTTATCTTTCTAGCGCGGTTCTCATACATTACAATTACAAATCTAGCAATACCAGCTAGACGTTGTCTAATTTTGGCTTGTGATTTTTTTTGTGATTTAGGTGCAGTGATAATGGGACTGGGATCGATGATCTTTATGGTGCCACATTTCACAGCAGAACCCTATTTGACGACAACCGCAAATCATTCCAATTCAGATAATATCTGTCGCGGCGTTTCATTACGCGAACAAGATATGGGTTTGGGTAAGTATTTTTACGTTTCAGTCGTTTTTTGCGAATTCGTAAAAATTAGTATTAGTTTTTATATAGTAAAAGTAAATACACATCTTATATGTTTTTTATATACATATGTCTTATTATTAAGGGAAAAGGGTTAAAGTAAAAAAAAAAAAAAAACGTTTTTGATTAAAGATTTATTTATTTGAAAATCTATTTACAGGTCGACTTTCATCAGGGTTATCTTCACCTCCCTTAGCACCACACAATAATTTAAGAGGTGATAATTGTATACAGGGCTCTCCGTCTACAGCCGGACCTGTTACGCTATTTGTACTTGCTCAGTTACTATTAGGATGTGGAGGCTCTCCTTTATTTACTCTTGGTACTACTTATATAGACGATCATGTGAGACCGGAAAGTGCATCTTTATATATCGGTGGGTCTTTTGTTTGTTACATTACACAAATGTCGGTATGAATATAAATAATACATTCGAAATTTTTATTTTATTTCTTCAGGTTGTATGTATAGTATGGCGGCCTTTGGACCAGTTTTAGGTTTTCTTCTTGGAGCATATCTTTTGTCTTTCCATATGGACTCGTTTTCTGGAAAAATTATAAGTATTGGTAAGAAAAATAATTGTCTCAATATATTCGGTTTGTATGTTGTTTTTTTATTTTTTTATACTTGCCTGAATTTTTATATGTAATGTTAATAAATTAAACAGATCCTGGAGATCACAGATGGGTTGGTATGTGGTGGGGTGGATTCCTACTTTGCGGATTGCTCCTTATTTTAGTAGCGATACCTTTCTTCAGTTTTCCTAAAACTCTACAGCGCGAGAAGGAAAAGATACGAATTATAGAAAAAAATAAGGCATTATCGCAAAAAGAAAAAGAGCAATCAAAAGAACCTAAAAAGGAGAAAGTAGACGATAGCGGTTATGGAAAGGATGTTAAAGGTAATTTATTATTATTTGAATATTCTCAGTATTCAAAATTTCGTTAATAAATTTATATTAATGCGGTAATGTTTCGGACATAAGGAATTAGAATTAAGAGATCTTTAATCTTGTTTTTCTTACAGATATTCCACGAAGTATGTGGAGGCTTGTTTGCAATCCAGTCTATGTTGTAACATGTTTGGGAGCATGCATGGAATTGGTGATTGTATCTGGCTTTGTAGTATTCCTACCCAAGTATCTCGAAACACAATTCAGCTTGGGGAAGAGTCAAGCCAGCATCTTTACGGGCTCTGTCGCTATACCAGGCGCCTGTATCGGAATTTTTTTTGGCGGATGTATGCTCAAACGTTTAGAATTAAGGCCAAAGGGCGCAGTGCAATTTGTTCTCGTCTCAAATATAATATGCCTGGTGTGTTACGGTCTACTGTTTTTCCTCGGCTGCGAGAACGTAAAAATGGCTGGGACCACTATTCCGTACTTTAATAGTAGCACAAAGGGTCCTGAACCCTTTCAAGTAAATCTTACTGCCGCATGCAACTTTGGTTGTGAATGCCGTATGACGGATGTCGAACCGGTTTGCGGAAATAATGGTCTGACATATTTTAGTCCATGTCACGCAGGTTGCACTGCCTTTAGTTCCAAATCGAATTTTACAAATTGCGCATGTAAGTCTTCACATATCGATGCGATATTCTCAAGTGATTATCTCCAAGTGTGTATTGAAAGTTTTTTCTTTTTTCTTTTTGTCTTTCAGGTATACATGGTAATCTAACTATGTTTCCTCCGGCTGCTCCAGAATTTGCAGAAGTGACCGTTGTGCCTGTAGCAACCGCAGGTCCTTGTACTTCACCATGTAGAACTATATTTCCATTTTTGATTCTTTTGTTTTTTATGACATTCATTGTTGCCGTGACTCAAATGCCTCTGCTTATGATAGTATTACGGTAAATAGTATTTTTACATCATAAATGTATTTTTTTTGTATACTAAATTAGCTGTTTTGTAGATCCGTTTCCGAAGAAGAAAGATCTTTTGCTTTGGGTATGCAGTTTGTAATTTTTCGGTTATTTGGCTATATACCGGCACCGATACTATTTGGTAACTTGATTGATTCCACGTGCTTGCTGTGGAAGAGCACCTGTGGAGAAAAGGGAGGTCGATGCTTACTCTATGATATCGAACAATTTAGATACAGGTTATATTTTTTACTTTAATATGTATACATAATTTTTAAATATTTATTTTTATTTATTTGCAAATACTCATTAAGTATGATGATTTTAGATATGTCGGCCTATGTGCTGGGATAAAAATTTTAGCTTTGGCCCTATTTTTGATTGATTGGTGGCTTGTAAGGAGAAGAAGACAAATGGAAGATCAACCACCATCTTTCACTGTCAACGAGTTTGTAGGATCAATCATCAGTCTAGATAAATGTGAGTAATGTCTAGATAATTAGAATAATATATTTTATAGCTGTTAATGTGCAACACAGTAATAATGTACAATATCATTACGCAGTGTTTGAAGAGAAACCACATCAGAATTTAGGGGATGGTGATGCGACTTTACCAAGTTCTGAGATTGCAACACCATCTTCTATTTCATCGCCTACAGAACCTACAAAGTCAACGAATCTCGAGGAAACAGGGTCGTCGAATCAAACGCAAGATTCAACTGAGACGACAAACCGCTCAAAAAATATGGAAGTTGAAGTTCCCGATACGAGGCAAGCACCACTTGCCATACAAGAACCAGATGTTGAGATCAAACCTTCAAGTGGTATGACGGAAAATCGCAATTGCGATGTTTAATGTTTATTTTACATTAGAAATTATAGAAATAAATATATCAAATTGGTGATATGTATAAATTTGTGACAAATTACATTTGTTTTTTACTAGTTAATGGATTTTGTCTGAATAATACAGATTTACATATCCACACCTACATTATTTATTTCTTGTTAAAAAGGACGAGGATACAATGCAACAATATCAAGAAAAAAGCAAAAGTTTATATATAATATTAAAACATGCTAAAAAATAATTAATTAAATTGAATTATTTTTGTTTTTATATAAAGCTATTATTTATTATCCAAGGTAATTTGTCACAAATTTAACTATCTGAACTGGTTATTTTTAGGAAATATGATATCACTAGAGGATGAGTTTTTACAACAATGATGTGTGTGGGTGTGTGTATGTTAATAAGTAGATATGTATAACGCATAAATGTAGCATTTAAAACATACAATCTCGAAATTGTATTATTCATTGCACATTTAGATTAATATTGTTGCTACGTATATCGTTAATGAGAGAATAGATATGCGAAGGAGGTGAGATACGGATAAATTATGTTGTCCGTAAGAAATCATGTAAAATAAGCCTTGCATCATTGCAAGAAAAGGCCAACGTAACGACGTAATTGTAAATACGAAAATTCCTGCCTTAAAAAAATACAAGACTATAGACAAATGTATATTTAAAAATAATGAATTAAGTACCACACAGAAAACTAACGATCTATATAATATCACTAGTGCAGAGCAAAAATTACAATTTATTTTATAACTAGAATTAGGTTTCTCGAAACCAATAGTCAATTTAGCGTAGCGAGATAAATAACGAAGATTAGTGTAATGAATTATGAGTAACCTCTGTTGTTGATTTGTATCTTCTATTTTTCTATAGATAGATGCAATCGTAAAATCGCGAATTGATAAGTTACATATGATCTCTTATTTACCGTTTTCTTTTATTCTTCTTTTTCAACTTAATCAATTTTTTATTCCGTAATCTTGCAGTAGAATTTTATATAAAGTATGTCCTCCAGAGGGAGGAGGGAGGGAGTAGACACATATATAAATCATATATATGATGCACGATATAAACAATGCTTTCAAGCAACGAAGATGGTATTCTTATTTGCACATTGTGGCTCGGTAAATCAAAGATTATAATTGGGATTAATATTACTGCTTTGTTTTGAATAATTCTGGCTTTACACAGAAAGTTCACTCTGTACGGGGAGTCTATTTGCTTCGTACCTGACAATCTCTCTTAAATCAATTTCGATATATACGAAAAGAAACTATATAAAATTACTCAGGAATGAAATTCTATAAAGGGTAGGGACACATTTTTAATTTAACTCAACAAAATAAAGAATTCATAAATACGAGATACATACCAAGGATTCAAAATGAGATTATAGTATAAAAGAAATATAAATGTTGTGTTTTGTGCATAGTGGGATTCTGTAACATATGAGGTGAAATATTTTAGAGTACTGAGCCCTAAATAAACCATATTAAATCAATTTAATTACAATTGCTTTTTGCACATATGTTCGCCAATCAATTGGGATACTTCTTTATATGCTATCCGCTTTGATGATAAATACAGTCAATAGTTGTGCTTCTCTATAGAAGGATAAGTTTATGCAATTTTCTCATATTATCTGCTTGACTCATCACTGTCAATTTTTCAAATATTAATACACATTATATTTTAGAAGCAATTTTCAGATTTAATGTAAACTTCATCAAAGTTGACCGTTCGTATCAGTTTAACGACAGCGATGATCTCCGCACGCACGCGTGCGTGCGTGTGCGTGTATGTGTGCGTGTATGCATGTATGTAGTATATAACTATTATATATATAAATATATAT